ATTTTCTGTGTTTGCCCAACACAGATAGTCCTCAACTTACAAAACTGAAAAAAAAAAGATTTATGACCGTTTTTCACACTTACGACCGTTGCAGCATCTTCATGGGGACATGATGAAAATTCAGAAGCTTGGCAACTGACTCGTATTTATGACGGCTGCAGTGTTTCCGGGGGTCACGTTGATTCCCTTTTGCGTCTTTCTGACAAAGTAAGTCAGTGGGGGAGCCGGATTCACTTAACAATCGTGTGATCCGCTGAGCGACTGCCGGCATAAGCGACTGCAGCAAGACAGGTCGTAAAAATGGGGGCAGACCCCCCCACTTCGTAAACGTTTCATTTAGCAGCATAAATTTTGGAGCTCAGTTCCGGTCGTAACTTGAGGATTATTTATTATCTATCTTATTTGGTCGAATTTTGAAGCTACCCATAACTCTAACGGGGGGGGGGGGAACGGGACTCTGAGCTACGTAGAAAGAAACCATTCAAAGACAAAAATGCAATGTTAAATCGTTGAAAAAAAATATAACAAAGACGATCAAAAGTTAATTAAAAGGTAATAATTTGGTTCAAAAACACCAGGAAAATTCACAAGCCTCAAGTTTTATTATTCAAACCCTGATGGTTTATTTGAGCGCAGCCTGGTCAGTATTTATGTACGTCGGATCAGCAATTTCTTTAAAGCGGAATCTTCCATTCCAGAATAAAAGCAGACAAGGAGCTTTTAAAGGCAAGGGTTAAATTGTATTTTCTCTCTCCAAACTCTCTGCATTGATTATAATATTTGGATCAAAGGAGGGCATAACGTCAGGGCCAGAATACAGATTTTTCTCCCTTTTTTTTTAAAGTGGAAAAGGCGAATGAGGTCATGGAAAGCATGCCCGTCCGTTGATTTATGACTTCTGAGGAAGTTACACCCCGTATTTCTGGCTCCGGAAGTCAAACCACATCAGCTTAAGATAGCGGCATGGAATAAAAATACCCCCTAAAACCAACTCGGAGCAAAGCAGGAGGTGAAAAAATGAAAGGAAGGAAAATGCAACAAGAAGCCAGCAAAAATCAATCAGGAATAAAATTAAGGAGTGTTGCAGAATTTAAAAAAAAGGAGCAAGGCAGCCAGATCAGTGTTTTTCAATCTAAGCATTTTGAAGATGAGTGTGGACTTCAAATCCCAGAATTCCCCAGCCAGCAGAGTAGATTTCAGGTTGAGGAAGGTTTTGTTCTGCTCCCCAAACACGTCAAACCCCCTGAAATTACATCTATCCATCTCCGTCCCCTGCCTTTTATCCCCAGAGCTAGGGTGAGGCTTCGCTAGCAGCGGTGGCTCTTCCTTCCCAAGGACCGGCCCATGGATTTCCACTGCTCTCCTCTCCTCTGCCTTCTGCACATCCACATGTCAGCTGTTCCTCCTCTTTTTCATCAGACCTGATGGCTGACGTCATAAATCTGAGCCAATTGCCAACCGTCTGAATTTTGATCACATGACCACGGGGATGCTGCAACGGTCGTAAGTGTGAAAAACGGCTCCCAAGTCACCTTTTTCAATGCTGTAAATTTGACGGTCACTAAACTGTTGTAAGTTGAGGACTACCTGTAAACCAGGGGTGGGTTCCTGCCAGTTCTAAGCTCTTCTATAGAAGAGGTTCCACAAATCTACAGTGCCGTTTAGAACCGGTTCCAGCTCCCTCCCCTCCTGCCCGTCCGCACATCATCAAGGTCAAGAGTGAGAGGAGGAATTCTGGGAGTTGAAGTTCCCAACTCTTAAAGCTGTCAAGTTTGAACCCCCCTGGTTTTTTTTTTCTAAAGGG